GAGAAAACTTTATTTTGTCCTGGGGGGGGCTAGCCTGTCTGGGGCTGCCAAAAAAAAAAAAAAGGGCAGCTGAGAAGAAATGGCTGGAGATAAACGCTCCGCTTCGGCTGGATCTAATCTCTTTCCACAGCCAAAAAAGAAAAAAGGCTGTGGCTTACGATTAGACCCTAGCCTACGGAGCTATCCTCCCTGCCCCTTTCTTAGCCAAAAAGGGGTGCTATCTATGATCTTAATTAGATATACAGACCAGATCTCTGAGGAGCTCGGTGGAGCCCTCCTCGGCAACAGGCCACGCCCCCAGGAAGTTGAAAGTCAATTCTTGACTTTAAAAGGTTGAACTGCTACCTAGTATACAAACAGTTTAAGATGGCTTCCCTTTGTTCCATTCAGGGAAGGTGACTTCTTAGCTTCCATTGATTTGATGGAGGCTTACCTTCATATATCAATTTTCCCCGAACACAGGAAGTTTCTTAGGTTTTCCTACGCTGGTACCCATTACCCATGGCACGACAAAACCGCACTCATCAAAATAGCGGTGATAAAACCACGTCGCTAAAGCCACGATGTCATCACCGCCGCGACAACAGTGCGGCAACAGAAGGGCGCTTTAGAACAGCGCGGTGGCAGAAAGCCAATTTAAATTAAGGTAAGGGTTAGGATTAGGTTTAGGGGTTTGCTTTAGTGTTAGGGTTAGGTTTAGGGTTAGGTTTAGGGTTAGGTTTGGGGTTAGGTTTAGGGTTAGGTTTAGGGTTAGGTTTAGGGTGCTGAGTGCTTCGGAAGGCGCGGATTTGCCCTCCGCGATTATGTCATCGTAGGGTCGCGTTTTTCCTTAGCGCTTCGAACGGCGCGGATTTGCCCTCCGCGATTATGTCGGCGCGGATAAGGGCTTTGCGGTTTTGTGGTGGAACCTCCATTACCAGTATAGGGCTCTTCGCTTTGGACTGGCTTCGACTCCCAGGACTTTCATGAAGGTCCTGGCAGCTGTAGCAGCTCACCTCAGAACAGTTCCCATCAGATTACATCACTATTTACCGTATTTTCACCCATATAACCCGCCCACGCAAATAACCGGCCCACGCGAATAACCCGCAGGTTTTCAAGATCGTGTAAATTATTTTCCGTATACCCCGCCCACTTATATAACCCGCGACGAGTAAGGGAGAAGGAAACTGCTGAGATCGGGGGAAGGAACGGAGGAGGAAGCCGGGCCGAGCTGGGGAAGGGGGAAGGAACGGAGGAGAAGGAAACTGCTGAGATCGGGGGAAGGAACGGAGGAGGAAGCCGGGGCGAGCTGGGGAAGGGGGAAGGAACGGAGGAGAAGGAAACTGCTGAGATCGGGGGAAGGAACGGAGGAGGAAGCCGGGGCGAGCTGGGGAAGGGGGAAGGAACGGAGGAGAAGGAAACTGCTGAGATCGGGGGAAGGAACGGAGGAGGAAGCCTGGGCGAGCTGGGGAAGGGGGAAGGAACGGAGGAGAAGGAAACTGCTGAGATCGGGGGAAGGAACGGAGGAGAAAGCCTGGG